CAATCTTGTTCAATATAGGTCCACACTGAACTATTTTGAAGCAAATTTCAGATTATTTCTTCTAGCATTTGTCTCTAGAAGATAAGAAAAAAAATTTATTTTTATTTTTGAGACAGCCTTGCTCTGTTGCCCAGGCTGGAGTGCAGTGGCAAAATCTGAGCTCATTGCAAGCTGCACCCCCTGGGTTCAAATGATTCTCGTGACTCAGCCTCCGGAGTAGCTGGGATTACAGGTGCGTACCACCATGCCCAGCTAGTTTTTTGTATTTTTAGTAGAGATTGGGTTTCATCATGTTGGCCAGGCTGGTCTTAAACTCCTGACCTCAAACGATCTGCCCACCTTGGCTTCCCAAATTGCTGGGATTATAGATGTGAGCCACTACACCCAGCCTAGAAGATTAAAAAATTATTTTTAGGAACATAACCCCAGTTTGATTACCATATCCAGTAAGTTAGCAATAACTCTTTCAATATATTAAATAATATAAAGTATGTTACAGAGAGCATAACTCTTTATCACTACTTATTAATATGCATCTCTAAAATACTTACCCATACTAGCCATTAATAGGCCTCTCTAAAATATTTTCCTTTTTTTTTTTTTGAGACAGAGTTTCGCTATTGTCACCCGGGCTAGAGTGCAGTGGTGCGATCTTGGCTCACTGCAAACTTTGCATCCCAGTGATTCTCCTGCCTCATCCTCCCGAGTAGCTGGGATTACAGGTGCGCACCACCATGCCCGGTTAATTTTTGTATTTTTAGTAAAAATGAGGTTTCACCATGCTGGCCAGGCTGGTCTCAAACTCAGGTGATCCACGTGCCTCAGCCTCCCAAAGTGCTGGGATTACAGGTGTGAGCCACCGTGCCCGGCCCAAAAATATCTTCTTTCTTATTCACAGTAGCACTATCACAAAATTAACAGTAATTCTTAAATAGTATCTAATAACTAACTCATATTTACATTTCTCCAGTTGTCTCAAAAGTTTACTCTTGGTTTGTTTAAAAAGGAATCCAACAGAAAGTCACACATTTGTATTTACGTTGCATTTGGTTATACCTCTTAAGTCTCTTTTGTTCTAAAATAGTGCTCCCGGCCGGGCGCGGTGGCTCAAGCCTGTAATCCCAGCACTTTGGGAGGCCGAGACAGGCGGATCACAAGGTCAGGAGATCGAGACCATCCTGGCTAACACGGCGAAACCTTGTCTCTACTAAAAAATACAAAAAACTAGCCGGGTGAGGTGGCGGGCGCCTGTAGTCCCAGCTACTCGGGAGGCTGAGGCAGGAGAATGGCGTAAACCCGGGAGGCGGAGCTTGCAGTGAGCTGAGATCCAGCCACCGCATTCCAGCCCGGGCGATAGAGCGAGACTCCGTCTCAAAAAAAAAAAATTGTGCTCCCACCCATAACATTCTGTATTGAAAAGAGAATAGGCCAGCTGTTCAGCAGTGTCCCACCTCCCGGATTTGTTTCCTTCAGCCTCTGGATTTCCTATAAACTAGATTAGATCTAAAGTTTCATAAGACTAGGGCTAAACATTTCTGATAAAAGTAGTTCATAAGGGCCGGGAACGGTGGCTTATGTCAGTAATCTCAGCACTTTGGGAGGCCAAGGCAGGTGGTGGATGGATCACTTTGAGCTCAGGAGTTCGAGACCAGCCTAGGCAACATAGTGAAACCCTGTCTCTACCAAAAAAAAAAACAAAAAACAAAAAACAAAAAACAAAAAAACAAAAAAACAAACCAAACAAACAAAAAAACAAGCAAAAAGTAGCTAGCATGGTGGCATGCAACTGTAGTCTCAGCTACTCAGGAGGGTGAGGTTGGAGAATTGCTTGAACCCAGGAGGTCAAGGCTGCAGTGAGCCGAGATCACACCACTGCACTCCAGCCTGGCAAGAGAGTGAAACCCTGTCTCAAAAAAAAAAAAAAAAAAAAAAGAAAGAAAGAAAAGTAGTACTTCATAAGGGTGCTGAAGACTTCATATTATGTCATAGCAGGGCCAAGTGAGGTGGCTCATGCCTGTAATCCCAGTGACTTGGGAAGTCAAGGTGGGAGGATAGCTTCAGGTCAATAGTTCAAAACCAGCATGGGCAACATAGTGAGACTCTCTCTACTACAAAAGAATTTTTTTTTTTTTTTTTAAATTAACTGGGCGTGGTGGTGCATACTTGTAGTCCTAGCTACTTTTTGGGAGTCTGAGGCAGGAAGATTGCTTGAGCTCAGGAGTTTGAGGTTACAGTGAGCTACGATCATGCCACTGTACCCCAACCTGGGTGACAGAACAAGACCTTGTCTCTAAAAAGAAAAGAAGAGAAAACAATCAGAAAACCCAGATACATCACATCAGGAGCCATACCGTATCTGGTAATCCTGCAATTAATAATGAAGGAATCTTTGAAAGGGAATCTATTGGTGAGCAAATTAAACACAGAAAGCCTATGGCTTGTTCAAGAGGATAGAGATAGTTAGTGGCTTGTCTGCAGCCAGATCCAAGGCACTGATTCTGTACTCAGCCTGCCACCATTTTTTCCTGCTACTTTCTGCTACTACTTCCTCATTGTTTGTGTTTTTGCTACCTTTGTTTAAAAAATATATTATTTAGTGATTTTTTTTTTTTTTTCAAGACAGTTTTGCTCTTGTTGCCCAGGCTGGAGTGCAATGGTGCGATCTTGGCTCACTGCAACCCTTGCCTCCCGGGTTCAGGCAATTCTCTTGCTTCAGCCTCCCGAATAACTGGGATTACAGGCACCCACCACCATACCTGACTAATTTTTGTATTTTTAGTAGAGATGGGGTCTCACCATGTTGGCCAGGCTGGTCTTGAACTCCTGACCTCAGGCAATTCACCTGCCTTGGCCTCCCAAAGTGTTGGGATTACAGGCGTGAGCCACCACTCCTGGCCTATTTAGTGATTTTGTGAAATGGACATTTAAATGACCTAGGATCTTAAGACCAAAAATAGTATAAACAATAAACAAATTCTGTGTCTGCATAGAAATGTAAACATTTCAGACAGTATAGAAGAAGTTGGTTCATGGGAAAGTTTTAACTCTCTAATTTTTCTTTGAAATACTCAATGTTTAGGTGCTATTTTACTTTTTTCCTCCTGCCAACCAGGAAGGCAGTGAGGTGGACTTCTCAAATTCCTAAAGCATAGTGCTAATGGATGGGGAAAAAATCACTAAGTACTACTAGATCAGTTATGTAAATAGTAAGTGAACAATGAAACTGTTGGCAAACCATGATGCTGTTGAGTCTCTAATTTTATATTTGGTTAATTAATTGCCTACAAGTGACCATTTACTCTATTAGTCTTTTCAGGAAAGTAATGTTTTTCATATGTAGTATTTGGCTCAAAAAGAGGTAACGTTTATATTTGATATTAATTGGTGCCATTTAAGATGACAGAAATGGCCTGGCTGTATACCGGGTTCTATAAAACTTGGTTCTTAGGGTACAGGTTCTTGCCAAGCCATGGTGGTAGCAGTGCCCTTTTTCTCCTGTTAAGAAGATGGGGCCAGGCGTGGTGGCTCACACCTATAATCCCAACACTTTGGGAGTCCGAGGTGGGCGGATCAGGAGGTCAGGAGATCGAGACCATCCTGGCTAACACGATGAAACCCCCCTCTACTAAAAATACAAAAAATTAGCTGGGCGTGGTGGTAGGCGCCTGTAGTCCCAGCTACTCGGGAGGCTGAGGCAGGAGAATGGCGTGAACCCGGGAGGTGGAGCTTGCAGTGAGCCGAGATTGGGCCACTGCACTCCAGCATAGGCAACAGAGCGAGACTCCGTCTCTAAAAAAAAAAAAAGGAGGATGGTGCTCTCTAGCAGCTTAGAAACCAGGAAGCCAAGCACAAAAGGGCATGGAGACCTTCTGTGCTACAGGGCTTTGCGGTGGGATCTTAAGGCTGCTGTGATGTGTGGAATGGCAATACTTATGCTTACAGTTTTTGCCATTTAAAGGAGGCTTTCCTGTATACATTTTAATGTTGCTATGAGATCATTTGCCTTTTCTTGAGAATGTTTCTCCTCCGTAAAGAAACTTTCAGATTTGTGTCAAGAGTTCAACTTCACAGGTAAGTGTCAGGGCTGTGCAGTTGACTCTTGAACAACATGAATTTGAACTGCATGGGTCCACTTAGACATGGCTTTTTTTTCAACCAAACAGTGATCAAAAATTGTACAGTATTTGCAGGATACAAAACCTGTATAGATGGAGAGATGACTTTTTATATATGCAGGTTCTGCAGGGCCAACTTAAGGACTTGAGTATGTAGGATTTGGGTATACACAGGGGTCCTGGAAGCAATCTCCTGCATTTATCGATGGACAACTGTACTTCAAGTTTGTTATTTGATTAATAGACTCATACTTACACATTTTTCTTTTACTGCATTTATGTAATTTTAAAAATACGTATGTAAATGTTTCATTTTCTAAGTCTTAACCGTTCCAGATGTTTTCAAGGTAATACATTGTTGTGATAAATTACATATAAGTATGCTATATTCTTTTTGTATTTCCTTATTCTGTCACAAAGAAGGCACTGTATTTTCACTCAGCTCATGATTTCCGTCTCTTCTCTGAAGGTCCATATTGGTTATCTTCCTAACAAGCAAGTCCTTGGCCTCAGCAAACTTGCAAGGTAAGTGTGACTGTGCAATGAATAAGAATACAGGTTTATAGGACCTGCCCTCGCCTGCTGAGAATCTATCTCATCAGGCTTTCTCTCTTTACCTGTATGGATCTAACTTGGAAGTCACATTGCAACTTAAAGTTTATAGTTGCAGAGGCACAGACTCAGAGGGCCTGAAACACAGATGTCCCTTCCTTCTCGTCCGCTATTGCCTGCTCCCTCTTCCACTTCCCACTCTTTTCTTCCACAGATACATACATCCTGGAAGTCTCAGTTCACCTCTTTCTCTGCAGAGCCTTCTCTGACTAGAGAGGTCCTGAACTTACCTTCAGTCCAGCACCATCCTTTAAGAGGGGTTTAGCTAACAGTGAAGAGTTGGGGGAGAAGCTGGTCAGGGGTCTAGCTGCAGTGCCCTGCTGTCAGACTTGTCAGGCTTGAGGACTCTTCTATCCTTGTCAAGGGGAGTGCTCAACTTCTTCCCTTTCATACAACACTGCTTTCAGACTTGTAATGAAACTTCCCTGTGGGATCCCTAGCCTCAACCCTGCCTTGCTCTGCACTGAATGCCTCCAGGCATATTTCAGGAGTCCTGCAGGCCAGTCCGTTCACATCTAGGTTCTTTGTTTCTGCAAACACAAGACTGCCTGCCTTGGCTTTGCGCAGTTTTGTTCTGATACAGTGTTCCCTCTCCCGGCTCTCATTTCTCTCTTTCCTGCTACAATCTTTTCTGTTCCTTATCCTGTGAGTTCATGCCTTAAAAAATTCCCTTACTGCCTTTTTTATTTGGGTTTTAGGAGAGGTGATGTACATACACATTCATCTGTGTTTAACTGGAAGTCAACATGGGGGTTTGTGTTCAGATATCTCGGTAGGCCCCAGCCACCAATATTTTATTGCCCTTAAATATCCTTGTTACTTCTTTGTATAAAGTTACTGAATTTTGGGTGATGGAGGAAATACTGGGAGGTGTGTCTGTGTGGAGAGAGAGAGAGAGAGAGAGAGAGAGAGAGAGAGAGAGAGAGAGAAAGTTAAGAATAAGCTGAAGGGTGGGGTAAAGTGTTCCTACTCTTTTTTTCAAAAACAATCAAGCTAAGTTTGAATAACTTGAGGTATAGTGACCATATCATAATCGAAATAAATGAGTGTCAGGTGGGTGCAGTGGCTCACGCCTGTAATCCCGGCACTTTGGGAGGCCGAGGTGGGCAGATCACTTGAGGTCAGGAGTTTGAGACCAGCCTCACCAACATAGTGAAACCCCATCTCTACTAAAAATACAAAAATTAGCTGGGCGTGGTGGTGCACACATGTAATCCCAGCTACTTGGGAGGCTGAGACAGGAGAATTGCTTGAACCTGGGAGGCAGAGGTTGCAGTGAGCCGAAATTGCGCCACTGCACTCCAGCCTGGGCGATGGAGTGAGACCCTATCTCAGAAAAATAAAAATAAAAGAAGAGTAATAAATGAGTCTCTGTGACCAGCTGACTGTGCTGTGGCTCTGATGTGTTCCTGTTTCTTTACGCAGGCCCTGGGATTTAACAGTTGTGAAATAGTGGTCCTGATATTTCTCAGTTCTGTGCTGGAATCTGTAAAAACTACCCCAGCAATCTGACACCTACCCTCTACAGTTGTTCCTTTTACTTTGTTTTCATTTTCACTTTCTCATTCATTTCCTTTGGGGATCAATAAGAAAGTGGGTAGAAGAGACAAATTTAACTTCCTCAGTTTCTGACCTCATTCTTGCTCAGCTATTTTGCTATTAGACAGGGCTGCTTGGCACCATGAAAGGATATTATATCATAGCTGTAATTGCTTCGCTGGAATAAGGCTCTTAGCACAAATCCAGAAACATTCTGGCTGCTTGCATGTAATCCGTCCCTGGTGGCAGTGCTGAAAAGTTGCTGAGAAAAAGTGTATTGGTAGTGATTGGGAGTAATTAGTCTTACTGTACTTTTTATTAACAACTCCCTTCCCAGTAACTTACTCTCAACTAATAATGTATTAAGCCAATTTCATGTCAACTGTGAGTAAAAATATCTTTACTAAAATCGGTTATTCTTACCATTTTATAAATACAGTCTAAGTAAAATCAGCATGCTTACTGTGCAAACATAGCTGTAGGCCCAGTCCCCTGGGGCCCGCCCTCCCTGTCAGCAAGATTGCCAACCTTTTACCTTGCCCATATAGAAATTCCGGCACTGCTGATGCCTATAACAGACTGTCCATATGTGAAAGGTGTAATAGATAGTTTCATAGTGTAAAAAAGCTGGGCAGATCACATTAGGCCTTGGTCTTGATGTAACAGCCTTCTCTGAAAAACCACCTGTTGATCATGATTAACACTTTATGGGAAACAGACTCAAGAGTGATTCAGTGAGATCATACAATAAATGGCAACCTGGTGGTAGAAGGAAATAATCTTAGTTATTTCCTTTCCAAGTGGGAGGAAAAGATCTCAAATAATTAAGCTTTTATGAAGCAATACAAAGGAGTTGATTATTAGCATGGGAATTTGTCCTTAGACTAATAGGATTAAAATTTAAGAGTAAAATGGAACACTAAGCCAAAGAACCAAGTGTATGTTGCTTTCAGATATTTTGCAAAAAAGAGTCTATTAAACAGAAAAGAAGATTAAGATTTTATCCAACTGCTTATTCTTTTTAAGAAACAAGAAGTAAGAATATTTAGGGAATGAAGAGGAATAAAAGCTGAATGTCTTAGCAAAACTTCACTGCTCATTTTAATCTTGTATGTGAAGTTTGTTATATGCTTGCCTTTAAATGAATGACCTTTCAGTGCCAGTGAAGTCAAATATCAAGCAGTAAAGCCTTAAGTAACAAGAAAATGCCAGAAGTGAGTTGATCTGGCTCAACTCTAGTACAATTCTAGAATAAACTTAGTTTGAATAGAACTTTCTTTTGTTGCTGAAGTCATTGGACATGTATTCATTTTCTTCCCTTAGAAATAACTGAGCCTTGGCTGGGCGAGGTGGCTCATGCCCGTCATCCCAGCACTTTGGGAGGCCAAGGTGGGCGGATCACTTGAGGTCAAGAGTTTGAGACCAGCCTGGCCAACACGGTGAAACCCTGTCTCTACTAAAAATACCAAAATTAGCAGGGCATGGTATCATGCGCCTCTAATCCCAGCTACTTGGGAGGCTTGAGACGGGAGAATCGCTTGAGCCTGGGAGGTGGAGGTTGCAGTGAGCCGAGATTTTACCACTGCACTCCAGTCTCGTGACAGAGCAAGACTCTGTGTCACCATAAATAAATAAATAAATAAATAAATGTACGAAATCTTGAATTTAGAGTTGTAGTACCTTCGGTAGCCATGGCTGACCTGTTGGTGGGCACTGTGCCAGCTACTGTGGAGGCAAAAGAAGCAGGACATGGCAGCCACCCTCAAGGAGAGTGCACAGGGCAAGACTGCAGGTGCCATGGAAATGCCTACTGTAGCTCCAGGTTCAGAGGAGCCACGATGGCTGTGGCCTGGCAGGTGAATAGACCTAGAGGTGGAGGGATGAGCAGAATTCTAAATGGGGGAGAAGTTTCTCTAGGTATAGTTAATGCATGAGCAAAGACCAGTCAGAGGGTAGGAGCGAGGCCTGTTCCAGTGGATGGGAACCAGATTGACTGATGGAAGTAAGAGGTAGACAAGGGGAAAAGGTGAGGTGGGTATTAGATTACAGAGGGAGCAGTCTTTTTTTTTTTTCTTTTTTGATTATAAAAACAACATAGCATTTAAAAACAAATGAATGAATAAAGTAAAACCTTTTTTTACCTATTTTCATTCCCCAGAGTTAGAACTAGAGACTTCTTTCACTATCCTTCTGGAAAAAATTTATGCAAACACAAACATAAGATCATATCTTATATTCTGTACTACAACTTGTTTTTTTAAATTTAAATTTAATTTTTTTTTTGAGATGGAGTCTCTGTCTGTTGGCTAGGCTCGAGTGAAGTGGTGTGATCTCACTGCAACCTCTGCCTCCTGAGTTCAAGTGATTCTCCTGCCTCAGCCTCCCCAGTAGCTAGGATTACTGACGTGCACCACCACGCCTGGCTAATTTTTGTATTTTCAGTAGAGACAGGGTTTTGCCATGTTGGCCAGGCTGGCCTCGAACTCCTGGCCTCAAGTGATCAGCCCACCTCGGCCTCCCAAAGTGCTGAGATTACAGGCATGAATCACTGCACCCAGCCAGGTATTTTTTTTTTTTTTTTTTTTTTTTTTTAGAGACAGGGTTTTTTTTCTGTTGCCCAGGCTGGAGTGCAGTGGCACTATCTGGGCTCACTGCAGCCTCCACATCCTGGATTCAAGCGATTCTCCTGCCTCGGCCTCCTGAGTAGCTGGGATTACAGGCACATGCCACCACGCCCGGCTAATTTTTGTATTTTTAGTAGAGATGGGGTTTCAATATGTTGGCAAGACTGGTCTTGAACTCCTAACCTCTGGTGATCTGCTCGCCCCAGCCTCCCAAAGTGCCAGGATTACAGGAGTGAGCCACTGCGCCTGGCCCTAGCCAGCTTTTTAAAAATTTAAAATACCTCAAAGTTCCTTGGATATCGTTTAGTCCCAAAAGTCCAAGTTTCTTTTCATAGCTACCTAATATTTCTTTGATTAATATAATTCATGTAACCAGTGTTTGCTATAGATAAGTACAGTTTGCAGTTTGAGACTTGCCAAAAAGTAAAAAAGTACCCTGGTGAACAAATTCTATTATCTTTGTGTGCTTTGAATCTATCTGAAGTATAAATTACTAGTATGGAACTTGATGGGTTAAGGGTAGCTGAATTTTTGATATTATGAAATTGCTCTCCCAAGAGACCCTGCCAGTTTATACTCTAATAAATTGATACATAGGCAAAGTGTGGTGTATGTTTCTCCACACTTTGGCCAACACTAAGTTTCATCACACTTTTAAATCTTTGCCAAACTGATAAGTAAAACATAGTATCTATTTTAGTTTGCATTTCCTTAATAGAGCAAGGTTGAATCTATTCAGACACTTCCTGTTCTTAGCTCCAGTGTTAATTTTTCCACTGAGTTACTTGTCTTTTTATTCTTGGTTTGGACAAGCTCTGAATGTTAAAGCAATCAAGTCAGGTGCTACAGACAATGCTTGCCAGCTCGTCATTTGTCTTTTGATTTTGCTTTCTAGTATTGTATTTCCATAAAGAAGTTTAAAACTTTTCTGTAGTCACAAACTTTTTTTTTTTTGGTACTTGTATGGCCGCATTAAATGTATTTTGGGGTGAGGAGTGAGGCAGAACCCATCTACTGCTGTGGGTGCTCACTGCCTGGCGGCCGCAGCACCCCCTCTTCCTTCCTTCCTGCCCTCCCTGCTGTGGGTCTTTGCTGGGCCTTTCTTATCTTCCTCCTGGAGGGAGTGTTAAGCTCCTGCCTCCTCCCTGCCTCTCATCTCTGAGGGTCCTTCAGTCCGCCCTCATGAGCTGCTGGGGTGTTCTTTCTAAAGTGTGGATTGGATCATTGCTGCTCCT